TGGCCACCCGTCACCGATACGACGTGTTGCACAGTGACGGTGAGGAAGTCACGGCGAATGTACAAATATCGCATCGATCCAGGGCTATCAAATCGAAAGCGGAATCCACTTCATCACAACAGTGGCACCGTGGTAACGGCCGAGACGCCATGCTTCCGGCGGGGAAGTCACAATGACTGTGGACACTTTCATCACAACGGTGGCACCGTGGTAACGACCGAGACGTCACACTTCCGGCGGGGAGGTCAAAATGACTGTGGACACTTTCATCACAACAGTGGCACCGTGGCAACGGCCGAGACGTCACACTTCCGGCGGGGAGGTCAAAATGACTGTGGACACTTTCATCACAACAGTGGCACCGTGGCAACGGCCGAGACGCCATGCTTCCGGCGGGGAAGTCACAATGACTGTGGACACTTTCATCACAACAGTGGCACCGTGGCAACGGCCGAGACGCCATGCTTCCGGCGGGGAAGTCACAATGACTGTGGACACTTTCATCACAACAGTGGCACCGTGGCAACGGCCGAGACGCCATGCTTCCGGCGGGGAAGTCACAATGACTGTGGACACTTTTATCACAACAGTGGCAACGTGGCAACGGCCGAGACGCCATATTTCCGGCGGGGAAGTCACGATGACTGTGGATGCGTCAGTAGATGACAGCGACTGCTGGATGTCACTGTGAGTCACATTACACGACAATGATGCATCTCACAATATATATGTTGGTGGCATATATATATACTTAGATACATGACAGTGACCGGGGACGGGCGGACCCATTTGCGATCTCTGAGTGTAATTACGTACAGCGGTTTTCAAATGTGTTGAAAAAAATTATGAAAACGTTAATGAGGTCATTTTTATAGGTGTAATTGCACTAGTACTGTATGCTGACTGTGCATGGTGGGTAGTTTCTAGCTATTGTATTCTCGTGGTAATACCGTGCATTGTTACTATTGCACAACATTCTCAAACATAACTTTGATGCACTATTGACAATCTAGTTTTTTGTGCAGTATAGAGCGTGGCGCGTTGACATCCACCACTAGTGCCTACATCGGTGTTTGTGGTGTAATAAACGAATATGACATATTGAATATTCACGACAGTGACGTCACACCGACGGCAGAGATGTCGGATGTTCGGACTGGCGGCGCGGCCGGTGAAGCCAGCATGCTGGCCGGTGTCTTTAGCGCCGGAACACGACAGTGACGTCACACTAACAACAGTGACGTCATACCGACGGACCAACGGCTCTCGGGAGCCGCTCGGCGATGCCAGCCGTTCAAACAATACGCGGAAGGAACGGCTGGTATGGCCCAGAGGGACGGGGATACGTGCATGCCGTGAAAGCGCGTTCCAGTCTCATCAAGCGTCCTGCAGTTCTGCTGCAGAGTTCCTTCGGCGAGCTTTAGTTTTATACAGAACCGTAGAGTGTAAGAGCGTACGTGCCTGTGGTGACATCGCACCCTACTTTTCGAGGATGCTGAACATTGGCCATATGGCAGCGCAAGAAAAGAATGTATTTTGAAAGCTTTTTAAAAAATGACCTATACAATGGGTCTAACACAGCCCACCCAGTCGTCAGTCACACGGAACGCACATAGCAAGCTTTGGACATGACTTCCGACATTTAGTGCGCAATCATCGCGGCCGAGACCCGACTCGTAGCCGAAAATCAGAGCGGGCGCGGCCAGAGCCCAGCTGGTAGCGTAGCGCTGCGTGGGGCGCCGCCGGCGTCATGCAGAGTCGATGACGTTCGGACCAGGAGCAGATCTGGAGCGGCTTTGGCTTTGTACATCGGAGATTTCATCCAGGCAGACTGCACTGCGGAGGCCCAATCCGCTCGGTTTCGGCTTTGGCGGTGGCGCCGACACCGACGTGAAGCCCACAGCTGCTCCCCACCCCCTAAATCACCGGAGGGGTGCAGAGCACGCCGGCGTCTCACAAGAGCTGCACAGTCATCGTGCGCTGGCCTTTATGGTTGCAACATATATATATATATATATATATATATATATATATATATATATATATATATATATATATAGGCATGCATGTGTGTATACATGTATGCATGCATGCATTAGCATATTTATTATACCAATGTGTGTGTGTGTGTAATGTATGCATGTATACATAAATGCAAATGCACATTCACGCATGCACATATGCATGAAACATGCATGATTATGTGCATATATGTGCGCACCATGCGCGTGAGTATGCACATATGCAATTTATTTAAGACCTTCCATAAGCCTCTCTTTAGGATGACACGCTGTACATGATACGAATACACTAACACATAAAAACAAAATATAACCGCTAAAAACCAACCAGCAATGACCTATGAGCCAGCGTCGCGACCTGCTAGCAGGAGGGAGGAGGGAGCTGACAGCCCCACGTGCCGCAGTGTGTCTATGGCAGAGCCTTCCACGATGCGGTCGCCCCGCGCGGACACGAGCTCGTCCCGCGTGCGAGCCCGCTTAGTGGGAGCTACACTACTCCCCTGCCGAGGGTACGCAGTACATGGCGCAGCACCAGGCCGCGAGACACGACCAGGAACCGAACACGGGTGGGGTAGTCCCATGCGTGGTGTCTGGTGTGTCGCTTTGTAGCCCGCGCGCATGATGAGTCCGTGCAGCACAGGTCAGCCCAGTGGCGGCGGAGCCGGAGATAAGATGGTTGCGTCTCTGGGTACCGGTTAAGCCGCGACTGCAAAGGTCAGAGACCTTTGAAGCCGGATGAGTTGTAGCTGTAATGTGTCACGCAGATATGCGGTACGGTGCATGGGGATATTTGCGCGTGAGAGATGAGACGGAGCGACTCGAGGGGTGGGCGAGTGGGGAGATGCAGAAGCTCCCTCTGCGGAGACCGCGATCACAGAACATCTCCCCTCCATCTCACCTTTATGCTTGTCCCAAATAAGTGGCTTGTGAATGACAGCACAGAGAAGTTTGACGCACGAGGGGGGGGGGGGCTGAAAATTTGAGCCAGGAATGTAGATGCTGAGCTTTGCCGGGCCTCCTTTTGGGGGGGGGGGGGGGTGGTATTTTTAGTACTAAAGATCATAAAACCGGTATTTTTGGCAGTCATGTTTGATGAGTTCATGTTAAGCCACAGCCCGCAAGGCTTATCTTTTTCCATGTGGCGTTTTAGGCGTTTCATGCTATATGCGTTTGAAGAGCTTCGTCGAAGATTTGGACACCATCTGCACAGGAAACAAGTCCGCCAAAGAGCGGGAAGTTGGGAAAAGCGTTCACGAATGAGCGGAGAACTAGGGGCCAGAATCGCGACTGGCTGCAGGGGAAGTCTCGGGACCGGCTGAGGGAAGCGAACCTAACGGGGGCTCTGGGTACCTGAAGCGGTTGGAATATCTGTGCTGTATATGCCATCGACTCACAGTGTCTGTATAACCACGATGCACTCCATCGTGATGACGCCGTACCGGCCTAGCTCCCCACGTACGGCGCCATGATCGACACGTTGAAAGCCGGCCGGAGACCGCGCCTGCCGCTGCGGGTGTGATGTGTGCAGGCCATCGACCCCGGTGGCAGGCGCCTCGGGGCGCAGGCTGTCACAGCGGCTGTCGACCGACGCGTGGGTGGAGGAGCGGCCGTTTGACAAGGCACGGGTCGACCAGCATGACATGCAGTAGGTTGGGAGGGAGGGGACCCGCTCTACATGGCGAGGAAAAAGGCGTCGTACAAGGATGGACGCATGGTGAGGTGGGCTGACGAAAAGGCGCTAATTTGCAGTGCCTGATATATTTCGGACACATTCAGCACAACTTTTGTCGGTCTAGAAAGTCGCGGGCCATAGCCTCACCCCGGCCGGTGACAGCGCGGCGGCGAAGCTCTGGTGCGATACTGTTCAGCAGTTTACTTGGTGACCGTGGCGCTGATTGCCTTCATATCAGTCCTCGCATGGCTCGTCTGCTGGCACACCCACATGTGTCGCAGGAGCGTGGCATGACCACCCCACGGCCGGCGGTGGTTTATACGCCCTAGGGGGTGAACGCGAGAATACCGAGAAACTCAGCGCAATTCATATGCACGTTTTAGAAACGTCCCCGCATGACCACTGGCCCGCTCTCAATATGCTCGACACGACAATGGAGGTGCCATGTGCAACGTGTGACGTTGCTACGGAGCCACTCAGAGCACTGACCTCAGGCCTTGTAGTCATTCTGGACATCAGTGTCCTGACGAGGGTAAGGCGGCAACTGACCACAGCCGGTGCCGTCCCGCGGCCATCAACGGCTGCCCACAATGCGACCTTGATGATGATGGTGATTGGCGTTATGGAGCGCGTCGGCCACCTACGCCATGTTGCGCTCTCCTCACCTATGAATTACACGGCGAGTCTGAAGTGCTACTGAGGTGAATGTATCACGTGGCTTCCCACAGCGGCCAACAGCAGTCGTCACACGGGCCGGTCTCGGGATGTTCACCTGTCATTAAAGTCAGGGCGACTTCACGTCCAGACACGCTGCCTCCCGGCAGCTGGAGGTGCGTGCTCCACCAGAGCGCGCCCGACGGTGAGTACTCCGCTCCACCTATCACGAGACAGCTGATTTTCTCGCACGCCGCCCCTGTGACGAGCGTCCTATGTTCTAATGACACAGCGTCGACCGCCGCAACGGTGTGTGTCGCGACCGCGGCACGCCGTGTCCCTGCCCACGTCTGCTGCCGCCACCACAAACGCCCGTCAGGCTCGAAAAAATATGTATTCATAAACATATAGAATTTTATACATTCGAGGTAATGAAGCCAAATAAACAACTTAATATCAGTCGCGATTAAAATGTGCAAAGGGCGAGGAGGGTAGCTCTGCGCCAGCGGGGCGACTGCGGCGGCCGGCGCCCGGTTCGGCCAGGTCGGGTCGGGTCATGCCAGACTGCGGGAACACTGCCGGCCAGCCAGCCGGCCTGCGTGGGCTAAGGCACACTCGACCGCCGGCAGCGGCGGGGCGGCCAGCGGCGGCGGCGGCGGCGGCGGGCGCGGCGCGCGCACGAACCGCGCCAGCGACCGTAAAGCAAATACCTACAACGAATGCTGCTCAGGGATACCGTCCGGTACACGTGGCATTAAATGCACAGTCTATGCCCGATCCTGAGATGCGCGTCCCTCTGCCGCCGCCCAGAAGCTAGATTTCGCTCCTGCAGCAGGAGTGTCCCATGATCCGCGATGGCGGCACGCGCCGTCCACGCAGCGCCCGAACAGACAACTATTGCAGTGGAACGCGACCAAGCAGGACAATCTCGAACGGCGGGTGGCGCCGCTCTGGCGGCCCTCGCCAACACCGGCGGTGCCGACCGCGGCCGCCAGGGGCACTGGCGTCGCCCACATCACAGACAATGCACTCGCGGACCGAGCGCGCGGGTCGACTAGGGGCGGCGGCACGCTCTCGCTCGCTCGCTCGCTCGCTCGCGGACGTCCGCCGGCTCAGCAACACTTCCCGCCCGCGTGGTGAGTCTGTTTCTCCTGCGGGAACCGGTCGGGGATCTCCACGTTGTCACGGCCGGGCGACTTGGCCAGGATGGCATCGGCCAGCTCCAGGAACGCGCGCTCGATGTTGATGTTGGCCTTGGCCGACGTCTCCAGGAAGCGGATGCCGTGCTCGCGCGCGATCTGAAACGGCGCGGCCACTTCAGGAAGAAGGCGCCGCAGCCACCGCGACATGTCCGGCCTCGAGACTCAACTGAAAGACCTTACTTTCATGTCACGCGCCTCTCGCTCCTTTCACTAGACCGCACGCAAATAGAACGCCGCGAACAACGTGCATGCAACGAGACTGACACATGGTCTGATTGGGCACTTACAGTGCCTGGCAGGTCACGTACGTACCGATTCGCCCCGCTCCTTCGTGATCATCCTCTTGTCTTCGATGTCGCATTTGTTCCCCAATATCATCTTCTCTACGTCTTCGTTCGCATGCTGAGGGCAAACAAGAATGCAATGGTTCACAGCAGGAGGTGGCACCGCCCGTTAGTCACGACTTGCTCCTGCCTTTTTAGGAAACCCATGCATTGGGTTTCTGCAATCTGAGCAGAACATGTAATTACTTCTGCAGCATACAGCAGAAACTATCAGCCTGTTATTTACACGCGATATCACTATCAGCCTGTTATTTACACGCGATATCACTATCAGCCCACAAACGCTTACGTCCCGTTCCTGCACCAGGCGGAAGCATGGGAAAAATTTTGTTTTGCTTTGACGAACAAAGTCGCGTGCACAACAACGTGCATTGCAAGGCACGGACAAAATGGTTTGACGAAAGCTCACAGACAAATTCACTTCACAATGAATCGTCCATTTCCATACAGAATGGAAGCATGTTGCATGAATGGAAGCATGAGGCCGCGTGCAGCTCACGAAGACACGCATACGAAAGCACTTGCATGTGCAGAAAGCCGGCGACGTACACTTGCCTTAGGCCAGCCTTAGGCCATAGACCCAGCATCAAGATCGCACAACGCACATAAATGAGCTACAAAGAGCCAACATCCAGTCACTACCAGTCACAGCCAACCACCTGATACCAGCCAACAATAAAAAAGAGCAGACACCACGTCCAGCCAGACGGCCCGGCCGTGAGAACCTCGCAAACAAGCTGTCCTCAATCCACGGAAACAAAGGTCAAGTCCCGGCGCTACGCGTAGCTGGGATTTATCGCGCACCCGGACTGAGTCACGCCCCGCAGCAGTGAGTCACGAACGACGCTGCACACGCCCCGCGCCGCTCAACCCAGCTCGGCAAACAAGGCGGCGAGTCCCGTACGTACGTCGTCAATGTTCCGCAACCACTTGGCGATGTTGTCGAAACTCTTCGGGTTGGTGATGTCGTACACGAGCATGATGCCCATGGCGCCCCGGTAGTAGGACGTGGTGATGGTGTGGAATCGTTCCTGGCCGGCCGTGTCCCTGAGCGCCACGACAGTCACGTGACCACGTGGCGGCAGGCCTCGCCCGCCGCGTGGCGGCACGTCCCGGGCCGACGGCAGCACGCGCACATCGCACGACACGCCGGGGTGAGGCCTGGGTACTATGATACTGAATGTATTTGTTCCCCAGCCCCATAATCTTGCCACAAACAGCCGAACAATTAGCGACATTAGCCGAATGGCACAAAGCGACTCATTTGAAATGCGTCAAAGCGACACCTAACATTCCACTGGCAGGGACACGCTCGAGAGTCGATCTGTCATTTAAAACAGGTCAACGAGGGATCCCGAACGACTCACCATATCTGTAGTTTGATTTTCTTCCCTCGAAGTTCAATCGTTTTTATCTTAAAGTCGATTCCTGAAACACGAACGAACATTGTTTCGCAGAGCGGTCACACCACTGGGGGCTATCACAACAATCCTCGCTAACGAATACGCAGGCCCATTAACAACTTCACCGCACATCCGCACATCACGCCCACAGTGCGCCCGGACCATCCGAGCAAAGCTGTGCACGGCAACGGCACGCACGAACGCCACCAGCGGTGCGCTGATGGGTGATAATCGGGGATTTGGGGCGCGGCAGTCGCCCGCTGCCCCGGTAAATGTTTCCAAACCGCTAACCTCAGCCGCCGAGTGCGTCGGCCGGGCGTTTGCCGCCGACGTAAAGATTTCCCTAGCGCTCGATGTATTTGCATCGCAAACTAGATCGCTCGATACATTTGCATCGCGAGCCAGATGATAACTGATGATGGCAACGACCATGCAAAGGGGACGAAACCTAAACAACATGCCCTTTCATTTTACTCGGTAGGCAGGGCATGCGATAGGTTTTCGCAAAAGTCGCAAATAAATTGTGAAGTTGTGAGCATCCTATCATATTACCATAAGATCAAAACTGTTAAGATTTCAGAAACCACTTTTGCAGGTGGCCGTTCATCGCTTTCCGTACTTTTAAATGGTCTCCCCTAAAACCTTAAATTTCTGTGCGAACCAATTTCCTACTTTCTTAAATTTCATTTTCAGGCAGGCATGGGGACGAAGTCAACTGCCTGGCTTCAAAGCTAAGCCAAAGACAGTGACACAAAGCCGAAGCCAGAGCCGAAGCTGGTGGCTTCGAAGTTGGAACTCCGAAGTCCAAGTCAAAACAAGTGTGCTTCGGATTTCTAATAAGCGAAGTTGACCTCAAAGCCAGTGGCTTCGAAGTTTGAAGACGCGAAGACGCAGTAAGCGGCTTAAAAAAATAATGAACGCGAGGCCGAAGTCAGCCCATTCAGTTTAAGATGACGAGAACGAGGCCGAGGCTGAAGCCGAAGCCGAAGCCGAATCTTGCACGCAATGTTGTTTTAAAGAAACCACAGCCATTTCACGCCTACTACAATGGCGTGGGATCAGGCAATATCAGCTTTGCGTAATGATGGAGACAAGTTTTATCATTACAGCTTGGTGATTTGTTTCGGAGCACAATCCTCTGCTATGTTAAGACGTACACACGTTTTCGGGACGGCTCTTTCTCCTGCCGTCGTCAGGTGTTGATTGACCTCGAGATCGACGTGAGATCGACGTGCTGGCTTGGGCTTCCAGCCCTGTATCCGTCGCAGCCTTGAGAAGCTTCAACCCATTCAATGCAATGTGAACACTACACATGGTAAACGGTCGGAAACGCCAATGCCAACGAGCAGTTATAGTTGTGCGTGCCTGAAAACGGCACATCAATCAAAAGCAAAACTCGTGCTTAAACTCAAACGCGGGTAGCTTTGCCAGTGCTGCATTTTGGCACAGCTGCAACACCATGGGATACGTCCCATCCCACAACTGCCTAACGGCCGCCTACATGACCAGCTGCACCCGCGGCTCTCCGGCCTGGCGGGCACTGGGCACGGGTACCTTGTAACGTTCGGTCTGCGGCCGCCCGACGCCCATGACGCAGTGAGCAGTGGCTGACTTGTTTATCTCCTTGGCCAATCAGTAAGACTGGCAAAAATGGTGGCTTTTAAGATGATATCAGGCTGCTGGTAAGACATAACATGCCATCACATTCCTGATCTCAGCATCAAAACAATCCTGTCCAGGGTGTCTTGACACACGCTCTGAACATTCTGCTGGTTCACTGGTCTCACCATACTGCAGAATGACAGTGCAAAAATCTCTCAGTTGCTGGATGCCCAGAAGAACTTTTACCATGACATCACTGGTTCACAGGATATTGCAAAAGATCATGTTTAACTTTTCCCTCCTCTGATTGCCCATGGAGATAACCTGCTGGTATGCCCCTTAGGCATGCATACAGCCCATCTGCAGACTTCAACAGCTGACAACTGCACATTGCTGTTCCTTGTCACTGAGGCTTTACAATGCTCTTAGCTGCTGAGGCTATATGACATTACAAAGCATTGCCTGCCTCTCACTCTGGCATAAAGGACAGGCACGGCAAGAATCAAACCCCAACCCAGTATCTCTGGTTTCCCACATGTGCAGCAGTTAATGCAGCGCATGTTCATCACTACAGTATGGGCAGCCACCAGGGATACTGTACATAGGCCTAGGGTGCTGGTTAGCATTGATTGTTGTCTTAACAGATGGTACTGGGAGCAGGTAACTTATTTTTTTGTGGAAAGTAAGCAGAGCAGCTGACTTATAGATGATTAGGCTATAGTAATCTTCTGCATGGTCACACCACATGCAGAGAGCAAAAATGTACCTGTAGGATAAAAAACATTGATGCTAAAATCCATGTTTACACAAAAAGAAGTTAATGTGGCCATGAAACGGCTGAGTGTATGTTGTGTTATCATGCAATTCTTAATCATTTCACTATCTGTCTACTTTTTTGCATGACTTGGCTCCTGTTATCTTTTCTTATTCTCGCTTTCATCACTTATCAACCATTCTACATTCATGGCCAGTCTTACACCTCAGTGCAGTTTGGCAACATAAGTTGCAAGTCCAGCAGGAATAATAGCCAAGCTGCAACCAAAACAATACAAAAGGCAGGTTTTTCCACCAATCTTGCCTGCTGACCTGATCTGATCTTTCCTCTCAAAGCTATGGGGAGAGGACTGGAACCCTCTCTCTCCCCTTCCCCATATGAATAGAAGTTAACATCTCGGGTTTATAGCATATTCTTTCGAGCCTTAAGCCATTTCTATCTCAACTATGTTTGTCTAGACCTTCATCATAACAGAGCTTTCTGCCAATGACTGAGACACTATGACAGGCATATGGCATGGCATGTGATATTCAAGGTATTGTTGACTAGATCAACAGAAACCAATTAAAATTCCCATCAGGCACCCATCACAATACAGTATATCAAAAACACACAAGAAGAGTACATCCTGTTTCAATTCTAGTACAGAAATCAGTGGTTTGCAATGCTTTGACTTACAAAGATGCATCAGAAAAGGTTAAGTTGCTTTTGTTGGTGAGTTGTTCAACTTGATTGGGCTGGCAATGGTGATTTTAGAATTGGAACTCAATGATAGTGAAAATGCATGGTATTATGCTTTTTTAAACTGGGTAGCAGATACCAGAGATGTCTCCTAACTTTGTCCACTAAATTTTAAGCCAGTGCAGCTACTTATACATGCACTTTACTAACTGCTTGCCAAAAGTATCACTAAGGCACAGAAGTTTTATCAAATGGGTATCAAAAGAGCAACAACTGATTGGGCGTTGTCTCTGCTTTGTACTGCAAATCTGTAGGACTGACTCATAACACCTTGGCCATCCAGTGCAAATTACTAGGGAACTTGTGTGGCAATTATTCTTAGTGCAGCGGAAGGCATTGCAAACAGCAATGATTCATATTAAATACATTTTCACCATTCTAGAAATGCCAATTGATCCTTTAAACTCGCAAGAAAAGACACAGATCGCCGAACTCGAAAATGACGGGGAGGGGTCGGACAACGGATACACTTCCGGCGCAGACGGCAGATAGAATCAATGTCACTCCTTCGGTGAATTCAGTAGTCAGCTCACCTATCGTCGAAATAAACGTGTGGTTGAACGCATCATCTGAAAATCTAAAGAGTATGCAAGTCTTCCCAACACCGGAATCTCCAATCAGCAAAAGTTTGAACAACAGGTCATAGCTCTTCTTCGCCATTGTCGACGCTTGTTGCAACTGTAAGAGATGGACAGCTGGTTTTTACTTGATAGACTATCACACACTTTCAATAGTCAAATACCTGACTTTGCCATTTTGAACTGTGTAGCATTATGTTCTAAGTGCCGTTCTAGAACATTTAATGGATTTGAAACACTTTTCTGATACACCACAGCTTTTGAGAAGTTCATTATCAAACAGTAAGGATGAAACAAACGTGATTTCAGTTATGAATACTTTACAGTAGCTGCTGGCCATTATTACTCAAGAGCTGTAAATAAATGCTTCACATTTAAGCGCGGACGAGGTCAAGGTATGCAGTTTTGAAACCTTTGCACCACATGGATTGTAGGTATTCTAACATTTTTAATGTTTTCACTATCGTCGTTGAAACATAAGCGAGCATAAAACAACAAAATGTTGTCATCACTCCAGCTTTTATTACGTCTCAATAGATGGCGATAAATTCAACTGTGGCGTTTGTGATGAAATCGAAACGAGGGTTTGTTCAAATGTTTGTGATTTGCTGATTGGGGTGAATTTTGATCGCCTGGGCGTGATTTGACAGTGCGGCCTGGAGGATAAGTGGGATAATTGGTATGCAGCAAAGGTGGACTGAAGGCAATGTACGTGCATGTACATTGGTAAGGAGGGTGTTTCCCAAAAAAATTCGCACGAAAGACGAATAACCATGTATTTCAGGCTGGAAGTAATGACATAAAAACAACAACAAAAGTCAGTCTGGGAACTCTATATTGGCTACAACCTAGTATGTCAAAAATATGCATGCTGCACTGCACACGTAGGTGACGTTGACGCACCCAACCTGCTGCAGGTCTATGTTAACTCAGTTTAGACTCAACAGTTTTATTTTTTCAAATTTGTCTCCCCCAAGACATTTTTCATGCGTTTCTCACAAAACCATTGCCTCATTCCTATTATTTGAGACCTCTGATATGCATACCAGATGGAAAAAAGATACACATTGTAATGCTAAACATGGCTGATGTGGCAATGTTATTTTTGCACACAGTTGGTGCCACTTTCAGTGCATAAAGAGCTAATGTTTTGAGGACTGTGATGCTGCCAAGGTAGTTGGAGACAAAGCTGCATGGAAAATTGGTTGAAAAACAAATGAATTATAAATTCAGCACAATTAGCCTGCCCCAATTTGTGTATACTGATGTTGCATAGGCATCAAGGACACTGGATGCATATTTTCTAAACTGGTTGCTGTATGCTGAATTTAATGGTAGCAATGCACCAGACTTGGTTTACCTGTGCTTTCATGGTACAGGCACTGCAACTTTCAGCATAGTTTTGCTACTGTGCCAGTTATGGTATGGTATGTATATTTCAACATACCTTTAACTTGAAATACTTTATGTTTTACTACTTTGCAGCTGTTCAAAGTTGCTCGCTACACACAATTCTTGCTGTTTATATGGCATCTGTGTACTGAGTCCAGAGCTTCCTTGCACCAAATACAGATCAAGCTGAATTGCACAGCATCCAAGTCATGTTTACATGCTTTTTTGTATTCTTGCTGAAAGTACCCTAGCACCTTTATAATTCATTGAAACATTCACTCTTTATCTGCCAAAGTGCTTGGCAACCAAACGTCAAACTCTGGGCCCTGAGATTTTCCCTCTTTTGCATGCGAGGATGCTGCTGCTACTGCCACACCAGCTATCCCCAATAATAGGTGTATTCTCAGATTGGTGTGCGGCCCTTGGGTGTTAAAAGTTTCACTATGCTGTGATGTATCAATACAGGCTGTGTCATGAACTAGGACTGTAGGAATGCTTGATCTTGTCTGTGAATTTCTTTGGTAATCATTTTCACATCCATGACCTTGTAATTAGTTGTATATAGATTGCTTGGAGGCATATAAGCAGGCTTTTTATGAGAAACATATATAAAAATGATGTTTTCAAAACCTAATGCAGCAGTTTGTTGTCACCAACTCACAGGTCTCAAAGCTCATCAGACATGTCACAGCTAGATCCAGCTGCCCTTCTGAGCACTGCCAGACATGAGAAGTCATTGAGTTTGCTCACCACCAGATTTGTGGCACTGCTGCAGGAGTCAGCTGATGGAATCTTGGACCTCAAACAGGTGGGTTTTGGCTGGATCTGTGGAGAGAACAGATATCAGTCAAAGACTTAGGTACTTTTAATCATTAATTTAGCTTTGTGTATCAAAATAAGAAAGATAGCAACAGACTCACCTGGATGAAAGCTACAGTTGGAGCAAGGGTAAACTGAGGTGAGGTAAACAAGGGCAAAGCTACAGTAAGGGCAAACTGAAATCTGGATTGTGCAGTGCCCTGCCACATCACAGTGGTTGTGATAGCAGACAAAAATAGAGAAATCAAGCTAAATCATCCTCTTCCAATTACAACATGTACTGTTCATGGTACGCGTAATGTATGTAAGTGTTGTATTAACTTACATTTTTTCAGCACTCCATGTGTCATGTTTTGTATGTCAGTGGTGCTGTCCCTCCCACATATCTGGGAAGCAGCTTAAGTATCTGTGCCTCCTTCTCTGCCAACCTACTGAATTATGCTGACTGCTTTTAGAACATGGGAACTGGCTCTAATAAGAGAAATGCCTAGGTTAAAAATATGCATGGCCATTTACCCATGAGTCAGAACCCTCAAGTTCCAGTGCATGTCTAGTGCATCTTCATCTTGGACAGAAAAAATAATCTGTCTGATGAAATCATTTAAAACATCTAGCATTAAAAAATAGTTTTTGATCACTTGAATTGCTAGCATAGTAATGTCCATGCTGAGCAGAGTGTGTCGTGTGAGCTCTGACCTTGCCATCTAGTCATGCAATTCTGGGTCAAGGATAGCATTCTGCATCAACAACTGGCAAAAGCTGAATGTGCTACAATGCCTGGCATGGGCTGTCATCCGTGGTGTCACCTGGCCTCAGACAGCTGCAGCCCACCAGCCACATCCCAGTGAGGGGAGGGGGGGGGGGGGGGGGAGGGGGGGAGCAAAAAGAGGGGACCTAAAGCAGTTTGAAACCCTGCCCACCATGTCACAGTGGGGTAATCAAGCTAGGTGCTGTGACCAACTAAGCTTTTCTTGAATTGCACTCATCCAGATGGAACCTGTTTTACCTCTCCACTAGACCTAATTGTGTATCATGTGAACAGGAGGAATAAACCTGTGTATGTTTAGTTATGCTTAAAATGTTTTTTCTATCAGCAGTAACAAACAAGTCCTATCCCACTTAAGTTGTGAAAACAACCAGCACATGCAATATTGAATTTTCAAGCATATTTCCATGTCCATCCATGGGGGACCATTTCAGTCTGGGGTTTCTGTAAGGGCCCTGTTTTTATATTTTTGGTCTGTCTAAGCCCAGGATTTGTTTGCATGCCTTCGGGTCTGTTCTTTGATGCTTTGGAAGCCTTCCAGGCATTCTAAGCTGATAATGAGTGAACCTGGGTAAACAGTAAAGTTTGACAAGTTTTTAATAGATGTGACTCAGAAATTTTGTACTCCTTTCCATCATTGTTCACAGTATTGACCAACCATATGTGTTCTTTCCAGAGGGTTTATGGTTGCCTCTGAAGGTGGCACCCACTTTGAGGTTCTGGTGGTCACATCACTACCCAGTGAGGTCATGTCCCTCAACTGAAGTGTACTGTTCCATTATTTCAGGCTGCAGATATTCTGGAAGTCCACCAGAAGAGGCGTATTTACGACATCACGAATGTCCTCGAGGGCATCGGTCTAATTGAGAAGAGAAGTAAAAACAGCATAGTTTGGAAGTAAGACTTATGACCTCTCAATATGATGTGACACTACTGGAATTCACCAATGGTTGATGCCTATGCAACTGAAGCCAGGAAATATTGTCATGTTTCGTCCTAAGTATTGTAAATTTAATGGTATGTGTTCTTTTTGACTTTGTGGCATTGAGATAGGGTTAGTTATGCGACATTTGACAAATGAAATAATGTTAGGTAAAGATGATGCATTCACAGTGCTATTTTAATGCAACAAGTGTGTGAGCCTCGGATCTAATTTGTATGATATTTCAGAGGAGGGGGGCCTGGAACGAACACACAGGAGCTTCAAGAAAAGCTGTCATATTTGAAAGCCGACGTCGCCATGCTTGAGTCCAAAGAGTCCGTGCTGGACAAGCATAAGCAGGTATGAACCAGCTGTGAGCATTTTCGTATTCACAGAGATGACGCATGCCATAGATAATTGCACAGTCAGATGGTCTGGCGTGACATACCATTATCATGTATTTAGTATCCCTGTTTGTGGTGTGATTTTTCTCTATTTGGGGTCTAAGTTTACATCGTTTCGGTCTCGACACGGTTACATGGCGGGTTACAATCCACTTCTGCCATAATAATATGCTCCGTCTAGTATCGCTTCTGTCCATCGCGCGGCTGTCGAAGACAAAGCCTCGTTTGGGCGTTCAAGGTCTTTTAAGTCGGAAGGCTGTCTGCTGGGATCAATGCTCTGCTCCTGCTAGGAAAAATGACACTGGGAAGCGTGTTATGTTGACCCTGTGACGGTTCCCGCTGTGAGAGAGCGTGCCGTCCAACGACACGCCCTGTGGGCCGCCCCGTCGTGTCATGGGCAGCTGCTATGTCTCTGCCGCCGTTGATCGGTCGGCGCGGCCCGTGGGCACCGTTGAGGCTGGGCTGACGACGACCGGTGGCGGTGCCGGCAGCGGTCGGTAGCGGCAGCCAACGGCAGCGCCGCGCGCGCGGGCGTGACGGCGCCCCGCTCTGTTGATCCGGCCCTCCAGGGGCGACCGGCCGCCAGCGTCTCCTGGTGCGTGCCGGCCGACCTGGAGTCAGGGCGGTGTGATGGGGCGCACGGCCACGTCGACGTCCTTCCGTGGCCGTTTTGTTTGACGGTGCGCCTGTCAGTGATCTCCTCAGGAGCTACCTGAGGCCTTTCGTGCCAAATACCGGGTGTTCGACCACCATTACCACCGTCCCCTTCCCTCACCTCCCCTCACACA